AGTTCCTCTTTTTTAAAGTAAAAAAAAGAAAGTTATAATTTGCTTCTTTCTGACCACTTTCTTTTTAAATTTGCAAAAGAAAGTTCTGTAAAATAGAGGAATATGATGTATGTATGTGTGGAATAAATGATATAAATAAATATTTTTTAATTATATAGAAAAGTAATAATACTTTTTTTATTTTATTAAAATAATAACAGTCATATTTTAATGTCTAAAATAATAAAGAAATGTATTACTTTTGTTTTTTTGTAAAAAGTACAGAAGTATAGTTAATGTTTAGCAGTTACACTTAAAAGTACGTATGGCGTAATGTATTACGTTAAATATTGTAAATATTAGATTTAACAATGCAGAGAAAATTAGTGTACGTGACTGGAAAGAAGGTGATAAAGTGCGACTAGGATTATAAAGATTAAATTAGCGGTGGCTAAAGAAGAACCCGAACACTTTTCAATGTTATCAAGAAGTTCTTTATAGGCAACCACTGACTCCTTTGTCGACGATGTGGAAATCAAGCCGACCGAAGAATCTTTGAAGAGAAGATTTCTCTCGCCGTTGAATGGTCCGTAAATATGAATTGATCTTCGAGCGTTTACACGATATCCTAACCAGTCTTCTAATTTTAATAAAGCTAAAATAGTATCCGTTCTAGAGATTTCTTCATCATCTTTCTTACGGCCAACAATCTGAGAACATTATAGTTTATTCAATTGGTGCAAAAAACTATCGTAAATTTAATACACTATATAACCTTTTTATTATTATCTTGAACTGATATTTTTGTTTTTGTCCTATATTAATATATTTTTTAAATTAATTTTATATCTCTACATATATCTTTTGTATTTAATTAATGATAAAATTGTACATAATTTCTGAATCAATAATAATAAGAGTTTTTAACAGAGATATTTGATTTCTCGATTTCTTCATTAAAAATATTGATTAAATAATATAAAAAGTTATATAATATTCTTTTATTGGATGTATTTAAATATTATGTATAAATGAGATCTTTCTTCAAAATTCTTTCTTCAAAAAAATTATTTACCTCGCTATCAATTGTCACCGATAATGCACACTGTTCGTCAATATTAAGTCCTGATTGTTGGGCCAAACTTCCATTTTTGCACAGGATACGGTACTTGTTTGATTCGACTATAATAA